ATTGTTTACATAATTTTCATCTCATCTTTAAATTCCAATTTATTTTGTAACTTAATACGAGTATGTAATATTTATATATAATGTATAATTTACATTGGCAGTGCCTGCTCCAATTCTGCTCATGGTATACATAACCAAAAAACGTTGGGAGATCACCATTGCAGAGGATGTTAGTAGCTGAAGAAAACAAAAATTAAAAAACTTCCAGAGGCATGAGGACAAGACAGGTAGCTACGAAGGATGGAGATGCAGTGGGAACTTCTTTTTTTTTTTGAAGAGATTTTTGCTATAGGGCACATGTGCTTACAAGGGAGACTGAGAGAGAGAGAGAGAGGGAAAGAAGGTGAGAAATTATCCGCTGAGAGGATGGCCACACCACAGTCCTTTCACCTCCATTGTGCTCTTGGGATTTTGGGCACACATGCATATGCAACTCATGCACACAGGCATGAGTTTCAAGTTTCCGGGTCCAGGACTCATACCATGGTTGGCCATGTGGGAGTCCAGCGCTTTAACCACCACACCACCACCTTCTGACCTGCAGAAGGAACTTCTAAGGAAAGTGAGGGTCTGCTGCTTTGCTACCACCAAGCTGTGATGATCTTCACCCAGGACGCCTCCCCAGATACCAATTTCTCCTATGAGAAATGAGCTGCTTGCAACAATCACTAGATGACCCTAGCTAGGATCCTTTCCTGCTCTAAAAAATCGACAATTCTATGACTCAGAGAAAATAAGATATAACAGCTGGTAAGTAAAAGCATGTTTGATGCTGCTTGGAGCCTCCAGGCTGAAGGCATGCCCTGACAAAGTACAGGCCCAAGAGAACAACATTTCCCGAAATGGGAAGATTCTGTAGAATTCCATAACATATCCTGGACGGTTAGCACTTCCATATTACACAGTTTAGCAGCATCACATATGCAGTCAACTTTAAATCCTCAGCAAAAAAAAAAAAAAAAAAAGGGAAAGGGGGCACCAGCAGTTGGCGCTGGTAAGTAAAAGCATGTTTGATGCTGCTTGGAGCCTCCAGGCTGAAGGCATGCCCTGACAAAGTACAGGCCCAAGAGAACAACATTTCCCGAAATGGGAAGATTCTGTAGAATTCCATAACATATCCTGGACGGTTAGCACTTCCATATTACACAGTTTAGCAGCATCACATATGCAGTCAACTTTAAATCCTCAGCAAAAAAAAAAAAAAAAAAAAGGGAAAGGGGGTACCAGCAGTTGGTGTAATGGCTATGTGGCTTGACTCCCATGTAGTCGACCCCAGTTCGCATCCCAGACCTGGTGGCTTAAACTCACTCTGGGCACGTGTGCAAATGTGCCCAAGATCCTGAGAGGAGAATGGAGGAGAAGGGATTGTGGTGTGGTCATCCCCCCGGGGGGTGATTTCTCGCTTTCTGTCTCTCTGTCTTTCTGGTGAACGCATGTGCCCTATAGCAAAAATCTCTCAAAAAAAAAAAAAAAAACAGGAAAAAATAACAGTAATAGTGCTGGCAATCTGTTTGCCATTCCATTAAAGGAGGGTCTTCGGTTCACCAGGACAGGCTCAGTTACCTTGTGTCTCTTACAGTCTGAGTAGCTCAATGTGAGGCAAATGTTTGACATGACATGTTATTCATTTATGTCACCTAATCCCAAACCAACTACTTCATCTGGTGCTCAAAGAAGACACCAGAGAAGTGTTCCAACCCTAAAGGAAAATCTGGCTGCGTTTGATTTAAGATGGAAAGTCAGCCTCTGAAGAGTACTGACTTCCTAAGGGCACTTCAAGGGCAATTTTTAACTGTGGTTGATTTTTTGGACTATAGAGCCGAACATCTAGATAAGACTCAATTATAGTTATTCTGGTCCAAGAGCTCACTCCTAAACCTATCACCAAGAACTGGCGTAAATTGACATTTGTTGCCATATACTTTTACAGCCCTTTCAGTGATTACAGGGCTCTCATCTCAGCTGTGTCATTTAACACACACACACCAGCCAAGCAAAGATAGGACAAACACTGTGATCCCATTCAGACGTCGAGGGTGGTGATGGAAATACAAGCTTTTGAGGAGCAGGACAGTGGCATAATAGTAAAATGCAATTCTCTGTGAGGCTGATCCACCCAAGAAAATTCCAAGTTCACAGTCAAAAACTGCTCTGAGTACACAAGCCATGTGTGTGTCTATGATCTGGGTTTCTCTGAGGCCGGCGAAAGACAGCGATGCCAGGACATGTTAGGGGTACTGCCTTTGTCTCTCTGGGTGTCTCTTGCTCCCAGAATACATTTTATCTTTCAGGTTGAAAAAGAAAAGTTGGGACCAGTATATAGTGTAATGGTTATGTCACTGGACTCCCATGTAGTCGACTGCAATTCAAGTCCCGGAACCAGTGACTTAAAACTCATGCCAGGCACGTGTACGTGTGTGCCCAAGATCACAAGAGAACGGAGAAGGGACTGTGATATGGTCATTCCCTCTGGGGAGTGATTTCTCACTTTCTGTCTCTCTGTCTCTCTCTCTCTCTCTGGCAAGTGGACATACCCTATAGCAAAAAAAAAGAAAAAGAAAAAAAACAAAAACAAAACACCTCTGAAAAAATAAACAAAAAGTTTTTGAAAAAGACAATTGGGGTTCAAATCCCAGACATCGTGTTCAAATTTTCAGAGCCTTAGTTTCCTCATCAGTAAAATGTGGATGGTGCACATGTATTATTATGTATTATAACAAAATCTTCATTTGTATGATATTCCCCAAATTGACTTTCTAAGAATATGGCATATCTAATACTATATCACTTCTTTCCCTGTAATTATCCTTAGTCTAGTGATGATGGTAGAAAGCAAGAGAAAACCAAAATGGAGCTAGTACATATAATAAGGGCAAAAATGAGGAATCCTTGGGGCCAGCAGGTGGCATGGTAGTTTAGGTGCTGGTTCCCACATGCTGATTCCACAGGTTCAAGTCCCAGACCTGGCAGCCTAAAAAATATGCCAGGTGCATATATGGCAGAAATTCCAAGAGGAGAACGGACGAGAGACTGTGGCATGGCCATCCCTCTGGAATGGGGGTGATTTCTCAATTTTCCTCTCTCTGAGGAGCACATACACTCTATGGCAAAAACTTTAAAAAACTAAAAAAACGAACAAAAAAAAACGTGAGAAAATGCCAAACTAGATTTTTCAGAACTTCACTAAGATCTCAAGGTACTGCGATTATCTTCTAAAAAAAATTTTAAGTGGTTGTTTTATTTGGAGTACTAAAAATGTACATAGAGTTTATATCATAACTTATATTAAGAAATTCATTCCAGGGAACCAGCAGTTAGCGTAATGGCTATGTCGCTGGACTCCCACGTAGTCGACCGCGGTTCACATCCCAGACCCGGTGGCTTAAAACTCACGCTGGGCGCGTGTGCGTGCGTGCCCAAGATCCCGAGAGGAGAATGGAGGAGAAGGGATTGCGGCGTGACCATCCCCCCTGGGGGGTGATTTCTCGCTTTCTGTCTCTATGTCTCTCTCTGTCTGTCTGGCAAGCGCAGGCGCCCTACAGTGAAAATCTCTCCAAAAAAAAAAAGAAATTCATTCCATGGGGCCTGCAGATAGCATTATGTCGCTGAATTCCCACATGGTACACCACGGTTTGAGGCCTAGATCTGGTGGCTTGAAAGTCACACTGGGCATGTGCGTGTGCATGCCCAAAATCCTGGGAGGAGAATGGATTGTGGGGTGGCCATCCCCCCCCTGGGGGGAGATTTATCACATTCCCTCTCACTGTCTCTCTCTCCTTCCCCCCCCAGAGAGCACATGTACCCCTAAGGCAAAAACCTAAAAAAAAAAAAAAAAGTCATCCATTCTTCATAGTTAATTTTTCTTTAATAAGTTAAAATCAAATCAGAATTAAAACTCAGGCAGTTCAGTTGCCTGGAAGATGAGTTTTTCCTACTTCATAAATACTGTCTCTACAATTACTGTATGCAAGCACCTTTAACACTTGTGTCTGAAATAAATCATTAAACCTCTGGAAGCTGAAATAGACAACCAGACCTGAGAAGTCCTTTCAAAAATCATGCTAACATTTGCTATTTACTTTTTCTGACAGATGAACAGGATATAAGAGAGGAGTCTGCTATAAAACACAAAGTTGCAAGCTCGAGAAATGGTGTAGAAAGCTTTTTTTTTTTTTAGTTGACAGAGGGCGCATGTGCTTGTCAAAGACAGTCAAGAAAGAAGGCACTCCCCAATGGGGCGTGGTCACACCGCCATCCTTTCTCCATTTCTCCATCCGGTAGGGATTTGGAGCACGCACTCACACCCGGAGTGATTTTCAAGCCCCTGGCCAGCATTCACTGCAGTTGGTCACGTGGGATCCGGCTACCTTAACCACTAGCCCACTGGCTGCCCGAGACGTGCTGATTAACAGTGACATCCTAGGAGGAATGCTATCCATCCGAGCCTCAAGCTTCCATAGTTTGCTAAGGAAAATAAACGGACTCTAGAAGTTACTATAGCTCAGTGATCCAGCGCTCTGCAGGCAATTTGACCACTATCAGGAGTGGGAAGGGGCCAAGAGCAACCTGACAAATTTGCCACTCAGCCTTTCCGTTTGGAGACGAAGCCTCCAGGAACACCAAGGCGTGGCCACCGCCTCGCCAGGCCCGAGGGAGCACAAAGCGGGCGTTGATCTGCCAGGCGCGTGGCGCCTAGGTCCCTCGCTTCACCATGCCCCGGCCATCCTGCCCTGCTCCGCCGTTTACCCACGACCATCTCCATCCCTCCCCACCCGTCTGCATGCAGCCGAGAGCAAGGATGCGGGAGGGAGAAGATGGTGCGGCGAGGAAAAGCAACCCTGCAAACCGCCGCAGCCTTCCCACCTCCCTCCTATTCCAAGAGGATGCAAAGCCACACCGCCTCTCCCACGCCCTGTATCTCTACTGCAAGGTCTGCAATACTTTATATTTGTCTTTAACTATTTTAAAGCACAACTTCCCCGCTCCCTTCCGCCCCTCACCTTCACGAAAGCAATCGGGGTTGTGGTACCTTCGATATCTAACAGGATCACGGTGACTTCGGCGGGCACCGAAAGCACGACCATTTCCCTGCTGGATGCAATCCACCAGGATCGGCCTACTAGGAGGGAGGGCGGAGAGCGGCGCCGTTGCGCCCCGGCACCGTCCTGGGCTTCCCACTGCTCCGCAGCGACCTCGGAGCCCGCACCGCACGCCGCCTGAAGCGCTCGTGGGAAAGACCACCTGCGCGAACCTGCAGCGGAAAAGGCGATCGCCCGGTGGCCCTGAACCCGGGAGCAGTGCGGGACAGCAGGCCCAGACCACGTGGGCAGGAAAAGGGGGCGGCTCTGACCGCGCTCCGAGGGGCGGAGGAGGTAGGGCGCCAGCGCGGATTGGCCGCCGGAGGGCCTCGAACGCGATCCGTCAAAATGGGCCTCGCGTGGGCGGGAACAAAGAAGAGAACGCGGGAGCTCGGTGCGCGGGCGCGCGCCCTCCGCAGACTGGTAGAGCGAGCGGGAGAGGCCCGGGGCACGTGCAGAAGGGAGCCCCGCGAGTGGCGCGCCGGGGATGTGAGTGCCCCTTGCCCTCTCCTGCACCCAGCCCCCTGCCCGCCCACTGCCTCCGATTTTGCATATTGACAGT